TTTTTTTAGGTTCTTAAATTTTTTTAAATAGAGCCGCAGGCGATCACGCGATTTTTTATTCCAAATTTTCCCCTTTTTAAATATTTTATATTATAAAAAATATCGACGCAGGCGTAAATATTTGCTATTTTGTTATTATTATGTATTTTCCAAAGAAAAACATACATACATTTTTGTCAAAAAAATTGTGATATTTGAAATTTTTTTTGAGGTTGTCATTTAAAAAGCACATATTCAAACCTACCCTTATGTTATGGAGGTCATTATGAAATATAAGTTGGGTATTTTACTGTCCCCAATATTCGAACACCCTTCTGTTTGGGTAATACAGCCATTTTGATTTGTTTGCTTGCTTACTTTGTTGAAGAAAAGTAGTGAAATGGTTAAACGCGTTTTATATTGTTAAAAAATAAAATAAAATACATTTATTGTAAACAAATCACAGGTGAACATTGAAAAGATCGTGAATTTATGCAAGTACAAGTGACAGCTGCTCTTTTTATATGAAAATTTGCTAATGGAAGTGCAAAAAATTTAATCAACAAATTACTTAAATACTAGTATTAAAAAAGTGAAAATAGTGCGAATTTATGTAAACATATATGTTTCTTAGAATCCTCGTAAAGTTTCAGGAGAAAATTCGTTATAGTTTTGCTAAAACACACACATGTCGATGTACACTAAAATCAACCCATTTATAGACCGTTGACTTAGGAATTCTATAGTGGCAAACATTACCATGCTATGTTCAGGTGTGATACATTAGCAAATTCCATATTTTATTCTATGACGTCGAGTTAGAAATCGCCAGAACTTTACCAACTATAATTTTCAGGTCGAAGCTACATTGCCGGACTGCAATCACTTCAACCAGAAGCCGTGTTATCTTCCCATCAAAGATGCGATATGCACTTATGCTTGCGAGAACCGTTTGCCGTGTGGTCATATGTGCCAGCTTAAGTGTCATGTTAACAAAGACCCGGAACATATCGAGGTACATATATGTATGTATATGGAGTTTGCTTAAATTAAATGTATCCTACTTATGTTTTTGAGCAAATTGTTAAAACTAGTGCGATAATTGATTATCATTATTGATTTAAAATTAGGTTTTCAGTACAAGTGCTACAGAGATTGCGATCGGATTAATGACAATTGTGTGGAAAATCACACGTGTAAGAAACAATACTTCGAAGAATGCGAACTGTGTCCAAAAATTGTTGCGAAAACTCGCTCTTGCTTCAAGCAGTTTGTGTGCTCGAAGAATGTAGAGGAAATTGAGTGCGACAGATCTTGCAAGCGCAAGTTAATCTGTGGTCACAAGTGTCCGTCGAAATACTGCGAACCATGCGGAAGCTGTCCATTCCCGGTAATCTATTGCTTTGCATATAAATTGTATACGTTACGTACGATCATTATATTTACCATGACTTTGCAGAAAAAAAAGATGAGTTCCTGCAGCCATATGGTGGAAGTGAAATGCAGCGAAGAACCAACGCCGTCTAAATGTAGCGGAAAATGTCCTAAATTATTACCTTACACCCTTATACTAACAAATGCAAAGAGGCTTGCACTTCAGACTGCAAGGTCTTGGTGTATGGGCACTCATTGAAAGTACCATGCTATCTTCAAAAGACAGGTCAGGGTTTCATGCAACCGCAAATAACTGTTGAAGTTAACATTCGCTTTGATTTCCCATTAATGATCCAAACTCACGACAATTATTGAAGTACTACAAAGCACCGTGCAAAGTCGAATTGGAGTGTAAGCATTTATGCAAAGGAACGTGTGGTTATGCAAAGATTACATATACACACTACCACATGAAAAAGAGTTCAGTTCAGCATCAAACAAATTGATAAGCATCAACAGGTTCACCGACAAATTAGAAGCCGAAGTCAAAAAGGATATAAGCGGCTTGCAGCATTTCGAAAAACTTAAAGTCGAACGCCAAATGATTCACGAGGCAATGGGCTGCAGCAAGGTCACTGGTATAAATGCCCTAACGGACACATTTATATGATAACTGAGTGTGGCGGTGCAATGGAAGTAAGCAAGTGCAATGAATGTGGAGCCCAAATAGGTGGCAGTCAGCACCGATTGTTGAGCAGTAACACCCTGACGACTGAAATGGATCGAGCTACAGACCCGCCTGGCCACACGATCCTAGAGAATATCAATACATGTAACTTGAAGATTATTTTGAACATAATAAATAGTTCGTATTTTAAAAAATGTTGATCGCTAGCTTATGAGTATATTCAATATTATAATTCTTGCTGTTTATAAAATAAAATTGTGCCTTTTGACTATTATTTGTCATTACTCTATTGTTAACTGGACAACATTACAATTTATTTAGAAGAGATAACTAAACAATCCGTGTATATGGGAAAAACTTCAAAATGTATTTAATTTAACCAGTATCATCTTTGCTGCGGCATGTTTGTTGGGGGGCAACGCCAACGTGCCGCCCCTGGAGGTGCAACAGCTGATGGACTTCTGTCGCAGGAGACGTCTTCCTGCAATCATTGGCTGTGATGCGAACGCCCACAATGTTGATCACCGAAACAAACAGGGGGTGAGTGCCTTTCAGAATATACAAGCTGACCCGGCAAACTTCGTTTTGCCCAATTAGATTTTTGATTGAATTATTTTCGAAGGTGACTTAGCATGGTGTGGTTTGGAGGTACCGATATGTTGTGTAAATATAAATCTGTTGGAAAGTCAAAAATTTTATTAGTTTTTTTTACATAAAGCCTCAAAGTAAATTTAAATATGAAAGTTTATTATTGCTTTTCCACACCACCGCTGTGGTTGCAATAAAGGCGCGTTACCGACTTTTTTCTGGTGTCCCGTTCCCCTTGGGGCCTATTTTCACCCATATAAAGCAAATATTCTACATATATATGTACATGCACATTAATAGATAAGAAGAACCATGATGCAATAATACAAGTTGGTATCAGTTGTGAGAGCTCGATTTGACACTGCCTTAGTGCAGTAGAATAAGAAGAAAAACGGGAAGAAATTAGTCCCCATTTGGGGGAAAAATATAAAATTTCATATTTTCTCTCTATACAAGATTTGTTTTTTTATAGTATATTCGTGAAGAAATGAAAGGAAATAAGATAAAATACCTTTTTGAGAAAACGAAATGTGTATATTGGGAAAAAATAAAAAAAATTCAACTATATTATTAGGCAAAGAATTGTTAAAGAAGTAACACTGTTTGACCTAAGGCAGTCAATATGGCGGAGTTAGAGCGAGAAGCTGTCAACCGATAACACCTTGTATTATTGCATCATGCTACTTCACTACTTTTATAAATGTTTTATCGTGGTTGAATTAACCCATATCGGCCCAATGTTCGATAAATCGAACAGTGAATTTGACCAGTTTTTAATATTTTTTCTGATCCGTTTTTCAGAAATTAGATGCCAAATTTTTACATAGTTTAATGCCGCGGGACATTTTCTATAATTTAATATATATATATCATTTCAGACATCTTTCTTTAACAGAGGAGAGCGCAGAAAAAACCCCCATTTTTAATATAAACTTAAAAGTACCAAAATAAATAAAACCAAAAAAATAGGAAATAAAATCGGGTACACAGTTTTTTTGCAAATAAAACAATATTAAAATTAAGATTTTATTTTTTTTCTGAAGTCAATATAATGGGCAGCTCATATATTTGAAGTTAGGTGCTCGATTTATCGAACGCTGGGCGCTACTCAGTTTTTTTGTTATCTGAACAACTTGAAATATTTTTTACCGTTTGTTTGGTTGCCTCGCGATATTTGAGTTGGAATGTTGAAATGCAACTGCTCAAACTTAATATTTGATGATTTGTGATCAAGTAGGTTGAGCCAGAGCAATTTGTGAGAAAAGGTGAAACAGTGTAAAGTGATTTGAAAATGGAAAAACAAAGTGCTGCAAAGTTTCGACATCGTGCTCTTACGAAATCTGAAATGATGGCTATTATTGAAGACTGGAGTGACGATGAAACAGAAATAGCGGCAGTTACAATTATACCACAAGACAAAGTTGATGAAAACACCGATGAAGAAGATTTTGACGATAATGTCATACCTATACATGAGGTGAGTGTATACAAAAGTAAAGTCATACAACAAACATTTGGGCTATTCGAATATCACATTGCACCGACAATCGAACCACTGGATGATATTTTTTGATAAAGAAGTTTTCGATATGGTAATCAGAGAAACAAATAGATATGCTCAGCAAAAGAACTCAGATTTCAGGATTGATCACAAAAAGAATTTCGGGTGGAGATCGCTTATTCTCTCATAATGACAGCGGAAGAAAACGACTCTGAGGACGCTGAAGAAAACGGGGAGACCGATGGTGATGGTTCAACGTGATTATTAAAGGATCCTCATCCAAAAAGGGAAAATTTTAGAATGGTAACCCCCGATTACGGAATTAAGGAAAATAGGGGAGGTAGAGGGGGTTCTAAAGGGGGTGTATGTAAAGTTTTAAAGCGCGCAACCTTCTAGTTTTGAAGTAATTTGTTATTAAAGTTTGTAATTTTAACCAACTTGTATGGGACTATTTCACAATATATAATGCACTTTCCACTAAATTTACACGTTATTTACACTCAATATATGCGCAGCTAGAGTGTGCACGTTCAAACAAATTAATACTTTTAGTATATTACAGCTTTTTTATAAAAAATTGATTGTTTTTTAATTTTATGAGAGTACCATGATTCAATAATACAAGGTTAGATAATTATTGACAGCTGCGGTTTGACACTCCCTTACAAAAGGTTGCATTTGCGAAGGACAGAGAAAGGGCAAGAATGCAATCCCTTGTTGCGAAAATGGTAGTAGAAAAGTACGCAAAGTAGGCAATTAGTAGTGAAATTCCTTTTGTAAATTCTAAAGTATTTGCAGGAAATCTGGCATTTTAAACGAAATGTCGAACGTAATATTTATATATCTACGTGAATTACGTAATTTATATGCTATTTAGCTGTTTAAAAACTGCAAAATGACTCAAAATTAAAATAAGACTACTATGAGATTGATGCAAACATCCAATGCTTATGTTTTCATCAGTTAAATATGCTTCATATGCATATACAAATAAACATATTGCACAAAAGCTTATACTTTTATTTCACACCAAAGCTACACTGTTTCCATGTAAATTTGCAAAGAAGCAACACGGTGCCACCGCTAAGGGAGCGGTGCGAGAGAGACAACTGTCAATTTATCGAACCTTGTATTATTGAATCATGTGAGAGTACATGCAGAATATGTGCAAATGGCAGCAGGACTGTGTTGCCATATGTAAAAAACCAAGAGTGGAAAGCAAGAGCAAAAGAAAATACGATTAAAAGGAAAATGCGATAAGGTTATTTTGTTCAGATTAAAATAAATAGTAGGGGGATCAGGGGCTGAACACGTTTCTTCGTAGGCGGCCTTCGGCCGCACTTAGGGATTATAACCCTCAGGCAGTAGAATTCTCCATTCTGTGTTGCCAAAGAAAAGGGGCCGAACACCTTTTGCATAGAACACCTTTCTGCGTAGGCGGCCTTCGGCCGCACTTAGGGATTATAACCCTCAGGCAGTAGAATTCTCCTTTCTGTGCTGCCAAAGAAAAGGGGCCGAACACCTTTTGCATAGAACACCTTTCTGCGTAGGCGGCCTTTGGCCGCACTTAGGGATTATAACCCTCAGGCAGTAGATTTCTCCTTTCTGTGTTGCCAAAGAAAAGGGCCGAACACCTTTTGCATAGAACACCTTTCTGCGTAGGCGGCCTTCGGCCGCACTTAGGGATTATAACCCTCAGGCAGTAGAATTCTCCTTTCTGTGCTGCCAAAGAAAAGGGGCCGAACACCTTTTGCATAGAACACCTTTCTGCGTAGGCGGCCTTCGGCCGCACTTAGGGATTATAACCCTCAGGCAGTAGAATTCTCCTTTCTGTGCTGCCGGAAGAGGGGAATATGACCCCAGTCCCCCTACTATTTATTTTTATCTGAACAAAAGAACCTTATCGTATTTTCCTTTTAATCGTATTTTCATTTGGTCTTGCTTTCCACTCTTGGTTTTTTACATATGGCAACACAGTCCTGCTGCCATTTGCACATATTCTGCATGTACTCTCATAAAATTAAACAACAATCAATTTTTTATAAAAAAGCTGTAATTAAAAGTATTTATTTGTTTGAACGTGCACAATCTAACTGCGCATGTA